CAGAGTTGGTAAGACAACTCCCACCTGTTCATGCTCTCTGTATGTGTGTATATATATCTCCTCAATATATGTTCCACTCTATATGCATCCGAAGAAGTGGGCTGTAGCCCACGAAAGCTTATGCTCTAATAAATTTGTTAGTCTCTAAGGTGCCACAAGTACTCCTGTTCTTTTTGCGGATACAGACTAACACGGCTGCTACTCTGAAACCTAAGGTTATTTAGAAATCAAGGCAGTACGCAGCCAACATTCATAACATTCATAACTTTGAATACAAAAATGATACATGCACACAAATAGGATTAATACATTCAGTAGATCATAACTTTTGAGATATGTTACCTGGCATATGTAGCATAAAACACAGTCTAAGCATATTTCCATAAAGCCTTATGGGATGGCATCACACACCCCAGCAGAATTCCAGAACTGAAGTATTTGGGCTTGCGCTGAAATTTTTCAGTAGTCACATTTTTTTTTTTTTGCCATTTTTCCAACAGGAAACAAAGGAACAAACATTTTTCAACCAACTCCACTGGGAATTTGCAGAGCTAAAAATCAGGGTCCCCCAGAGCTTGAGCGAAAGGGACCAGACTCTGGAAGCTGTAATAGGCCCGCTGTAGATCAGGCATAGATGGACACGCCCCACGTATGTCCCACCTGAATGGTCAAAATAGTGGTTTAAGGGGTATCGATGCCTTATGGTGGCAGTTCTCTGTATCACCCACTGGTGAGTCTATGTTACAAATCCCGCCCCCCATGCCAACCTACAATGGCTATGAGTCTGTTACAATCTTAAGCTGTAGCAGCTCCTGGTTTTAGTGCTGAGGTCGCTGGTTCAGTCTCTGGTGTGTCAGCCAAGAGGGTAAATGTCACATGTGCACGGGGAGATTTCACCCTCTATGTTCCTAGCCAAGGTCCCTTGTCCTATGCAGCACCCTGGAGCTCTGGCTTGTGTTGGCCTCAAAATAGGGTTTCTGTGGCACCGTTGCTTTAGCCACAGTCCAGGGTCTTACCGGGGTGTTTCCACGAGGATGATAAATCAATGAGGCGAGTCAGGGATATTCTCAGTGTGATCTTCTTTATTCACCAACCCACCCCCCGCCCCCAAACAAACGTACCAAGTCCTGTTTCCCTGAGTGCTGTGGGAACAAACCGCAGCAGGCAGCTTCCTGGCTGCAAGATCCCCATGTCTGCCCCTCCAGCAGGTTCTGTGCCCAAGAAGCTCCGTCCCTGCTTCATCCCAGAGTCACACTCGCTCTCTTCCTCCTGGCTTTTTGCTCCCACAGCCCAGCCCCCACGTTTGCAATCAGGGAACCTCCCCCTCATGGCCCCACGTCCTAGCTCTGCCCCGCCACGTGGCCTGCTGCCTTGGGTGGTTGCCCGACAGCTGTTATTACCACATAAAGGGGCTGGGTTGCTCCTTCTTTTGATCTTGAAAGCGGATGCTCAGCGCCCACTCCCTGGATGGCTGCCACTGACTCCTTACAGCACAACATGGGGGCATATAGGGTGCATGGGCACCTTGGTAGATCCCTGAACTAACGTGAGACCCAGGGTGAGACCTGGCCTCCTCTCTGTGCCGCTCCTGGACCCCTGCCCTGTTTGCCTTGCAGAGGGAGAACGAACGAGAGCACAAAGTGCGGCTGGCTGTGGGTAACGGCCTGAGGGTGGAGGTCTGGAAGGAATTCCTCCAGCGCTTTGGGCCCATCTGCATCTGCGAGTTCTACGGGGCCACAGAGGGGAACACTGGGTTCGTTAACTACACGGGGAAGATTGGAGCGGTGGGAAGGGCCAACTTCATCCATAAGGTGAGGAATGCTACTCTGCCTCTCCCCTACCATGGTGGTCATTTCCCTAGTGCCCATTACCGGTTTCTTCCCCAGCTGGGACAGGTGTGGAGGCTGAGCACAGATGATGAGGGTCTCTCTAGCCATTTGGCCTCTCTTACTGTGGTTCATCAACAACACTGAGATGAAACAGATTCCTGCATCCATTTCCCCCGGGATGTGAGGTTATGTTGATATTTCGCCCCCACAGACTGTGAAAAGTGTTGGTGCGTCAGAAAGAGTCCGGTTAGGTTAGGCCCTGGGAGGCTTGGGGATTGAAAGTGAAAGGCCTTAAGGACCCCAATCTATTTAGCTTATCAGAAAGAAGACTGAGTGGTGAAGAAGTATCTTCATGGATAGGAGACACCAGACTCTTTAACCTAGTGGGAAAAGGCAAGACTGGCTGCCTTCTGGAAGAGCTGTTAGCCAAACACGAGTTGTATTGTTCAGGACAGGGACAATCAGGAGAAATTCTCTGGCCTTTGTTATACAGCAGGTCAGATTACAGGCTTGGCTACATTTGAAACACTGCTGCTGTAACGCTTCAGAGTGGACACTCCCTGCACCAACGGAGGGGTTCTCCTGCATGCCAGACAGAGAGAACTTCGGTTTTACCCCACTGGCTATCCAGAAGTCACACAAGCAATTCCCTTAGACACTCCAGTTTCCCAGTAGCACCACCAGTACCACTCATTATGGGGACGAATGGTTATGAAAACCAATACCCCAGTAAAAGAAAAAGGTTCTCCTGATCCCAAAGGCCCAAGCCCCAGACCCAGGTCAATATACAAATCAGATCTTACCCACAAATCACGCTGTTGCCAATCCCTTAGAATCTAAAATCTAAAGGTTTATTCATAAAAGAAAAAAGATAAAGATGAGACTAGAATTGGTTAAATGGAATCAATGACATACAGTAATGGCAAAGTTCTTGGTTCAGGCTTGTAGCAGTGATGGAATAAACTGCAGGTTCAAATCAAGTCTCTGGAGTTCATCCCCAGCTGGGATGGGTCATTCAGTCCTTTGTTCAGAGCTTCAGTTTGTAGCAAAGTCCCTCCAGAGGCAAGAAACAGGATTGAAGACAAGATAGAGGAGATGCAGCTGCCTTTTATATTCTTTCTCTTGTGGGTGGAAACCCTTGGTTCTCCTGTGCAAGATCACAGCAAGATGGAGTTTGGAGTCACATGGGCAAGTCACATGTCCATGCATGACTCAGTTCTTTACAGGCCGACGCCATTGTCTACCTGTTAGTTTGAACGTTCCCAGGAAAGCTCAGATGTGGATTGACGTCTCCCAAAGTCCATTGTCAGCTAAGTGTTTATTGACTGGGCACTTACTGAGAATAGTCCTTTCTCAAGAAGCTGACCAAATGCTTCACTGAGGCTACTTAGACTCAAAACACATTGATATACAAGTACATAGCCAATATTCATAACTTCAACTACAAAAATGACACACCCATACAGATAGCATAATTATAATAAGCAAATCATAACCTTTCCATAGACACCCCACACGACAACCTTTGTACAATATTTGCTGAAAATATATAACAGTGGTTGCAACAATGATCTATACGGTCACAGGTTATGTCGGTAACGTCACACCCCCAACGCTGTACATTATTTATTAGATATATTATGGTAGCACTAGGACCCCCAGTTATGGACCAGGGCCTCCTTGTGCTAGGCACTGTACTTTATCTATTAGGTGTATTATGGTAGAGCCTAAGAGCCCCAGCCATGGATCCTGGCCCTATTGTGCAAGGCACTGTACAAACCTAGAACAAAAAGATGCCAAATTATCCTTATTTTCACCTCATCATTTGTCTGATTGGACGGTGAGCTCTTTGGGGCAGAGATTGTCTCTCACTAAATGTCCAGCACAGTCTTGGTTGGTTCCTCTAACAACACTGTGCAGCGCAGGCTGCATCTACAGCCCTGCCTGATGGTGATTCAGCCTTGGAGCTTTGCAATCCGGCCCTAGAGAAGGAAGGGACCATGTTCTAGCTCAGCACTGGGGCATGAAAGCGTCATTGCCGGGGCAACTAGCATCCAATAAGATCTCCTTGCGGCACCGAAGAATTGAGAAGGGTCATCTGCTTGGAGAGGGCTTCGAGCACCTCTTTATGCCGGTGATTTCTGCCCCTTTGCTTCTCCCCAAGTGCCAAGGAGTTCAAGGATCTCGGCACAGCTCCATGCTGCGGCACGAGGCGCTGCATGATAGTGAACAACGCTGCTCAATGCTGAGGTGCACAACTCCAGGAGTATCCTGGCTTCACACCAGCATTGGAACAGGCAGGTGACATCCAGGTGATGAGACCCCAGGGCAGGGGAAGGCAGATGGATAAGCAGAGAGGCCGATCCTGGCGAAACGCACAGCAGTGTGGGATAGCAGTGGGCGGACCCTCAAGCTCCTGCCAACGAGCCAGTGCCTTTGTCCATCCTAAATATGCAATGATTTCAATCCACTTACCAAGCGGATTGTATTTTTCCAGCATGGTCCAACCCGTTTTTCAACGCTGCGGGCCAGAGGTTAATTTTGGGGCTACCTCCATGGCCCTCGTGCAGAAATATAATTCCAGATTCTAGTATCAGATCAGTTTTGAAGGATTTAGCCACTAATAGGGTTCAGATGTAATAAAATGAAATTAAATAAAAGAATACCTCACCTCCTCGTTAAAACCCCGGGGAAAAGGTTTTTCTCACACTAGAATCCCAAGGTCGACAACAATAGTTGTATCGGTAAGTCGGAGACAGCAAGGCATTGTGATTGTCCGTTACTTTCCACCACTCAAGCAGTCTTCCACGCTGTATTCCCCACATCAACTTTCCTGAATTGCAGCCATTGCAGTTACTTGTCCCCTTGCGCTCAGATGACGGTTGCACCACATTTTAACAGGCCATGCTCCAAATCCCCGGCGCACACCCCACTGAAAACCACAACACACCGAAACGCTCGCAGCAGAAGCTCAAAAGCAGCAACCCTCCTGCCTCACGGAGGAGTCCATAGCTGCAGCCTCACAGCCGCGGGGCTGCATGTAGGTGAAAATCACTTGAGGACTAGATGGAATCGCTGGCCGGGGGGAGGGAAGGTGGCAGATCCTGATAATGGGCACATGAGGGACGCTGGCGTTATTTTTCCAGCTGATTTCCGTCTTTGTCACCCCGTTGCTTTCCAGATGCTCGCGCCCTTCGAGTTGATCCGGTACAACGTGGAGCAGGATGAACCCGTGCGAGATGAGAGAGGGTGCTGCATCCGAGTCCCCCCCGGTAAGAATAACAGGCTGGCCATCGGGAGGCGCTGATGCGGGGAGTGGGCCCCTTGGGGAGGACGCATGGTGCAGCGGTTACAGTCTTAGCCTAGGCTCAGATCCACTGAGCATAAGGGAAACTCGGTGCCTAAATACCATTGAAGATCTGTGCCTCGGTTGCTGTTTTGTGAAATGAAGCTAATAGCCCAGCCCTACCTTACAGGAGGAATTGTCAGAATCAGAGCATTAGAAGACTGTGAGACACTCCCGTACTCACAGCAGCCACATAAGTCCCCTAACTAGAGAATGGAATAGTTGATAGCAGGGACGAATGAAAGCCACGGAGCTGGAGAATCTGCAATACTCATGCCCCGTTGTTTTCAGAGGGGGGATGGCAAAATCAGTTCAATGTCACCAGCCCTGTCCTCGGTTATTTTAACCCATTTCATGCACACATCGAATAGACAAGGTTTTCAGATTTCCTGGTGCGTTTGGATTTAAATAGCTAATTCGGTTGAAGTGCCATTTAAGAGAGTCAGTCAAATACTTGATACAGCACAATACAGAATACAGAAAGGAAATGTACATACCAGTCTGAGACTGGAGAAATTAGGCATCACGTTTCACTTCACTTTGCTTCTAACTCCCCCAAGTCATGCCTTATATACTGGTTTTGGAGAAAGAAAATCCTTGAAAATCTTTCTTTCTCATGCTCTGATCTGATTTTGAAAATTATCAATTTACCGAATCAATAAGCCAATGACAGGTGTAACTATTGTATCTGTACTGAGACCATCTGTAGCCATAATTAGCTCTTAATGACTCAGACATCCGTCAATACATTACTCAATGCTGTGACATTCATTATAGCACACGTCCGCTGTATCAAATGTGCCCTGTGCGTTTTATCAATTACATGTTGTCATTTATAACCATCCTTCACCAATTACACCATCTCGTCCACTGCAATACACATCGAAAGTAACAGGCATGTGGACTAGGTCAGCAAGGTCATGGGAAAAGCAGATGAGATGGTTAAATACAGTCCTACTTTAAATTACAGACATCCATTAGTCTAAAACAAAACAGTCTTTGGCATTAGAGTTGGTAATATTTAAAAACCGGACACTCCAGCAGGAGTCCTGGAACCTCCCCTGCCCCGTCTCTTCCCCCTCATGGCCCCACCCCCATCCCACCTATTCCCCCCAAAGCCCCGCCCCTGCCCCTGAGGCCCCGCCCCCGTCCACTCTTCTTCCTCCCTCTCCCCTGTCGCTCACTGCTTTTCCCCTCCCACTCCCTACCCCCGCCCGGGTCAGGAGGGATTTGCCTGTGGAGCCGAGGCTGGGAGCTGCAGCATTCTGATGAAGGTCAGAGTTAGGGGGAGGGATAGCTCAGTGGTTTGAGCATTGGCTTGCTAAACCCAGGGTTATGAGTTCAATCCTTGAGGGGGCCATAATGGGATCTGGGGCAAAAATCTGCCTGGGGATTGGTCAAGCAGGGAGTTGGACTTGATGATCTCCTGAGGTCCCTTCTAACCCCTATATTCTATTAAGGTAGGAGGCAGCCCTAGCTGTGTAGGGGTTGGCACAGATGATGACCCAGTGCCTCCCTGACTTGCAGTAACTGGACTTTGGGTGTCCAGTCAGTAGATCTGACCAGACACTGTTGGGTCCCCTTTTTGACCAGACTTTCCCGACTAAAACTGGGCACCTGGCCACCCTAGAGTTTAGACAGTATTTTGGTTTAACACAGAAAAGATTCTAGAATTTTTTGGTCAAAGAATCACAATAGTTAAATAGAGAAGAAGCATACAGTACTAACATAGTCTAGTCCGACCTCGTGCATATCACAGGCCAGAGATCATCACCAAGTAATTCCTTCATCAAGCCCAGAACTTCTGATTGAGTTACAGGGCGACATTATCGACAATCATCCAGGGTATGTCTGCACAGCAACTAGACACCCGCTGCTGCTGGCCCGTGGCAGCTGACTCTGGCTTGTGGGGCTCGGGCTGCGGGGAGGTTTCACAGCTGTGAGGAGGGAGGGTCCCAGAGCCCAGGCTCCAAGCCGAGTCCGGAAGTCTACAAAACAATGAAACAGCCTGCAGCCAGAGTCAGCTGTAACGGGCCAGCCGTGGGTGTCTAGTTGCTTCTTATCAAACTGTCTGTACTGAGCCATCTTGATTATCACTTCAAAAGTTTTTTTCTCTTACTTAATTGGCCTCTCAGAGTTGGTAAGACAACTCCCACCTGTTCATGCTCTCTGTATGTGTGTGTATATATATCTCCTCAATATATGTTTCACTCTATATGCATCCGAAGAAGTGGGTTGTAGCCCACGAAAGCTTATGCTCTAATAAATTTGTTAGTCTCTAAGGTGCCACAAGTACTCCTGTTCTAGTTGCCAATGTAGACATACCCACAATCTTGATTAAGAGACTCCAAAGTTAGAACTAGGCTGCAGGGGTATTCGCAGTACGTGTAGACACACCCTGGCTAGCTTTGATCCAGTGATGCAGAATCCACTTTACATCCCATGGCAAGTTGCTCCTCTTGTGTCCGTTGTTCTTTACACAACAACACAATAGGAAGACAGGAACTTGGCACAGTTGAGTTCCCACACTATGTTGTTGTCAAGCTGTACACAATCATGCTAGGCCTAGCTACTCCCACACTGCCACAGAACACAGCGAGTGCTGTCCCGGAGCCACAGGACCAAGGCTACGTCCCAGCTTTTAAACAGTCCCTTTGTGGAACCCCTCAGTGCTCCAGGGTAGCTCCTTCCGTCAGGAGCGGGGAAGAGGGGAAAAGTCTCTCAGCTGGAGTCTACGCACCTCAGCAAGTATTTGCAGTGACACCAGGCGGCGTTTCCAAAACAGTTGGGTTTGTTGGCGAACAGGAACTCAGCCTCGGGAAGTCCTTGGGTCAGCACAGGAAGATAACGGTTAAGACATTGTCCCTCTGGCCAAGCCAATGCAAATCACCGGCCAAGCTTCTATGGGCTCCATTCCAGGCTCTGCGCTCACCGCTCAGCCTCTCCCAAAAGCCGACTCCTTCTCCCCGGCCTGCCACTGGTCCTTTGTTCTCGAGCTGGGGCTTCTGCTCAGCTTCCCTGCTGAGGTGTGGGGGGAACCCACCTCCCTGTGGGCGATTGGTTTCCTTAAGGGTCCCGTTCATTGCATCCTGGGCAGTGAGGGGGTCACACACACCTTACATCTCCTGCGTCGCCCCAATAGCACCCTTTTGCCCTTCCAGAGAGCAGTGCAAAACAGAGGAGAAACTGAGGCATACATGAGCATCACAAAAACATGACTGAAAATTGCCACTTTATCATGAGTGTCCCTAGTGGGCTCAGCCCTATATTCGCTACGCTGCCAGTGGCTAATTACCCTTGCTTCAGACTTTATGCCTGGTTCTAGCCTGAATTTGTCTGGGTTCAGTTTCCAGACATTGGATTTCATTCTGCCTGTGTCCACTCAGTCAAATTTCCCAGCTAATGGGCAGGATAGAAGATCTAGCAAAGGTCCTTTGGTCCCCATTACTTGTAGTATCTGACCACCTCATGGGCTTTAATGCATTTATCCAAACGCACCCCTGTGAGGTAGGGAAGTCTTATTAGGGTGACCATATTTCCCCAAGGGAAAACGGGACACCGCGTGGGGCTAGCCTGAGCCCTCCTGCTCCCCGGTGTGGGGCTGGCCCAAGCTGCTCATCCAAGCTCTCCCCCACAGGGCTAACCCGAGCCCCTCTCCAAAGGCTGGAGAGAGTGGGGCTGGCCCAAGCCACTCGCCCCCTCGCGCATTCCTCCACACCCCACTTTTGCCAAAAAAGTCAGGACGGCCGGGACCAGGCTTAAAAAAGAGACTGTCCCAGCCAAAATGGGTCGTATGGTCACCCTAAGTATTATCCCCATTGTAGAGATGGGGGATTAAGATACAGAGAGCAAGTGTAAAATTTAGGAGTCTAAATCCCATTCTCAATAGTGACCTAGGAACTTTGGAGCCTAATTCTCATTGAAATTCAATGGGGCCAATACTATAACGGGGTTCAAAAGGGAGCTAGATAGATTCATGGAGGATAGGTCCATCAATGGCTATTAGCCAGGATGGGCAGGAATGGTGTCCCTAGCCTCTGTTTGCCAGAAGCTGGGATTGGGTGACGGGATGGATCGCTTGATGATTACCTGTCTGTTCATTCCCTCTGGGGCACCTGCCATTGGCCACTGTCAGAGGATGGGATGCTGGGCTTGATGGACCTTTGGTCTGACCCAGTCTGGCCATTCTTATGTTCTTATGGGGGCCTGTTTACACTTGGAAATTAATGTGGATTAAGATAGGGCGTGCATTTAAAGTGCAATGGATATTCTTGAATAACGCCATGTGGAGACGCTCTGATTTCGGTGCGAGAATGGCGTGTTCCTGCGGAGCTTAACCCCTTTTCAAACCCACCACTTGTGACCTTTCCGAGGTCACTCAGACAGGTGAGGGGTTCTGTCTCCACCTGCCGTGTAACTTTGGGAGCCTTAGTGCCGTGCTGCTGTGGCTGAAAGCCCTGACACCAGTCGCTGGCCCACAAGCCAAAGGTCTGACACTGGCTTCCACGAGCCATGTTACTCCTTTCAAGGTGACACCAACATCCCTTCTGGGCCTGCGTGTCCCCAAATCCTTCCAACCCAAGTTTTTAACTTCTAGCTGCTCGGTGCGCCACCCCCAGAGGAGTGAAACCAGCCCCCAGCTACCAGTTCACTTTGGCACACATGCCACGGCGTGCACACCGGAGCCAGGCTCGGGGTGGAAATAAATGAAAGGTTTATTTGATAGAAAAAATCCCAGACTCCGAGAAGAAACAGCAAAGGGGACGCAAACACACATACACACACACACGTTATGTTACCCCGGAATTTGACCTTCCTGCATGTACCCCAGAACTTGACTATTCTGCAGTCGGCCATTCTGTATGTGCAGCCGCTGCCGGCTGAAAACCAAACATCACATAGCTAGGAAAAATCTTTGACCTTTGTGAGACAAGGTCAGACAGCTGCAGACTTGCAGTTTGCTAATCAGAATGGGAGGATGGGAGAGAAAGTTCTGGAAGAGAGTGAGTGAATAGCGGCCTTGGTTTTAGGTGCCCCTGACATATTGTTGTTATGGCTAGAACTGTTTTGAGATAATGAGGAGAAATGCTGACTCAGTAGAGGTTATTCTGCTGACCCACTAGGAGTCACTGTAGAGTTAGAGTTAGCTATAAAAGATTTGGTAAAAATAAATACCTCAGATCAGTCTGAGGGAGCTTTTCTCCAGGCAGTGAGCTAACATCTAAACTCCCCATCAGCTGGAGACAGAGACTTGGTGGGGTAACTCGCATGACTGGAGTACTGTCATGGATAGGTATAAACTGTTCAGGAAGGACAGGCAGGGGAGAAAAGGTGGAGGGTTGCAATGTATGTAAGAGAGCAGTATGATTGCTCAGAGCTTCGGTATGAAACTGGAGAAAAGCCTGTTGAGAGTCTTTGGGTTAAGTTTAGAGGCAAGAGCAACAAGAGTGATGTCGTGGTGGGCGTCTGCTATAGACCACTGAACCCGGAGGATGAGGTAGACGAGGCTTTCTTCGGACAATTAACTGAAGTTTCCAGAACACGGACCCTGGTTCTAACGGGGGACTTCAATCACCCTGACATCTGCTGGGAGAGTAATACAGCGGTGCACAGTCAATCCAGGAAGTTTTTGGTGAGCGTTGGGGACAACTTCCTGGTGCAAGTGCTGGAGGAACCAACCAGGGGTCATTTTCCTCTTGACCTGCTGCTAACGTACAGGGAAGAATTGGTAGGGGAAGTAGAAGTGGGTGGCAACCTGGGCAGCAGTGACCATGAGATGGTTGAGTTCAGGATGCTCACAAAAGAAAGAAAGGAGAGTAGCAAAATACAGACCCTGGACTTCAGAAAAGCAGACTTTGACTCACTTAGGGAACTGATGGGCAGGATCCCCTGGGAGGCTAATATGAGGGGGAAAGGAGTCCAGGAGAGCTGGCTGTATTTTAAAGAAGCCTTATTGAGGGCGCAGGAACAAACCATCCCAATGTGCAGAAAGAATAGCAAATATGGCAGGCGACCAGCTTGGCTTAACAGAGAAATCTTCGATGAGCTTAAACACAAAAAGGAAGCTTACAAGAAGTGGAAACTTGGTCAGGAGGAGGAGCATAAAAATATTGCTCAGGCATGCAGGGGTGTAATCAGGAAGGCCAAAGCACAATTGGAGTTGCAGTTAGCAAGGGATGTGAAGGGTAACAAGAAGGGTTTCTACAGGTATGTTAGCAACAAGAAAAAGGTCAGGGAAAGTGTGGGACCCTTACTGAATGGGGGATGCAACATAGTGACAGATGACATGGAAAAAGCTGAAGTACTCAATGCTTTTTTGCCTCGGTCTTCACAGACAAGGTCAGCTCCCACACTGCTGTCCTGGGCAACATAGTATGGGGAGGAGGTGAGTAGCCCTCAGTGGTGAAAGAACAGGTTAAGGACTGTTTAGAAAAGCTGGACATGCACAAGTCCATGGGTCTGGATGTAATGCATCTGAAGGTGCTGAGGGAATTGGCTGATGTGATTGCAGAGCCATTGGCCATTATCTTTGAAAACTCGTGGTGATCGGGGAAAGTCCCAGATGATTGAAAAAAGGCAAATATAGTGCTCATCTTTAAAAAAGGGAAGAAGGAGAACCCGGGGAACTACAGACTGGTCAGCCTCACCTCACCTCACCTCAGTCCCTGGAAAAATCATGGAGCAGGTCCTCAAAGAGTCCATTTTGAAGCACTTGGAGGAGAGGAAAGTGATCAGGAACAGTCAACATGGATTCACCAGGGGCAAGTCATGCCTGACCAACCTGATTGCTTTCTATGATGAGATAACGGGCTCTGTGGATATGGGGAAAGCAGTGGACGTGATATATCTAGACTTTAGCAAAGCTTTTGATACAATCTCCCACAGTATTCTTGCCTGCAAGTAAAAAAAGTATGGATTGAATGAGTGGACTATAAGGTGGATAGAAAGCTGGCTAGATTGTCGGGCTCAACGGGTAGTGATCAACACCTCTATGTCTAGTTGGCAGCCGGTATCTAGCAGAGTTTCCCAGGGGTCAGTCCTGGGGCCGGTTTTGTTCACCATCTTTATTAATGATCTGGAGGATGGGACGAATTGCACCTTCAGCAAGTTTGCAGATGACACTAAGCTGGGAGGAGAGGTAGATAAGCTGGAGGGTAGGGATAGGGTCCAGAGTGACCTAGAGAAATTGGAGGATTGGGCCAAAAGAAATCTGATGAGGTTCAACAAGGACAAGTGCAGAGTCCTACACTTAGGATGGAAGAATCCCATGCACTGCTACAGGGTGGGGACCGACTGGCTAAGCAGAAGTTCTGCAGAAAAGGACCTGGTGATTACAGTGGACGAGAAGCTGGATATGAGTCAGCAGTGTGCCTTTGTTGCCAAGAAGGCTAACGGCATATTAGGCTGTATTAGTAGGAGCATTGCCAGCAGATCATGGGAAGTGATTATTCCCCTCTATTCAGCACTGGTGAGGACACATCTGGAGTATTGCATCCAGTTTTGGGCCCCCCACTACAGAAAGGATGTGGACAAATTGGAGAGTCCAGTGGAGAACAACAAAAATGATCAGGGGGCTGGGGCACATGACTTACGAGGAGAGGCTGAGGGAACTGGGCTTATTTAGTCTGCAGAAGAGAAGAGTGAGTGGGGATTTGATAGCAGCCTTCAACTACCTGAGGATGGAGCTTGACTGTTCTCAGTGGTGGCAGATGACAGAACAAGGAGCAATGGTCTCAAGTTGCAGTGGGGGAGGTCTAGGTTGGATATTAGGAAACACTATTTCACTAGGAGGGTGGTGAAGCACTGGAATGGGTTACCTACGGAGGTAGTGGAATCTCCATCATTAGAGGTTTTTAAGGTCAGGCTTGACAAAACCCTGGCTGGGGTGATTTAGTTGGGGATTGATCCTGCTTCGAGCAGGGGGTTGGACTAGATGACCTCCTGAGGTCTCTTCTAATCCTAATCTTCTATGATTCTTTGATTCTATGGAGGGAAAGAGGGCCCCTTGGAAGTCCGGCTGGTGATTATTCAAAACCATATCAGACTGTGAGTAACTATATCTGGGATGTCCTAAACCTATTGCCTGTGTGTGTGTGTGTGTGTGCTTAATAGCTAATAAATAGTAGTTTTAGATAAGAGCACGTTCGCTTGTATCAATCATTTATCAGATGGAAATTGCTGTGTCCCCACTGATTTGTTCCTGACACTTCCTGGAGTGACACAGTTGAGTTACCCCTGGGAGACCCCGGGTAACCGTTACCCAAAAATTAAACATCAGGATGCACCTTCAGGCTTTATGCCTCTATATTAGCTAAATTCTCTTTTCTAGCAGATGTTACCTATTGCCTCTGAACGGGTTCCCAGCGTACCCCCGTCATCTTTGAGGAGATCCAGTGTTTCACGGACAGTTTCCCGCTTAGGCTGCCCCCCGGTTTCTGGATAAAAAAACCTCAGGCACAAGCTTTTCCCCCCTTTTTGTTTCTTTTTCCTGGCATGATGACTCACGTTTATTTAGAGTAGGTGAAACTCTCTCCTTTCTTAGGCCGGGCCTACACTAAAAAGTTAGGATGACCCAGCTACATAGGTCAGGGGTGTGAAAAAGCCACTCCCCTTGAGCGACATAGTTAAGCCGGTGTAGACAGTGGTGTAGACCCTTCCATCAAGCTAGATACCTCCTCTTGTGGAGGTGGATTACCTACGCCAATTGGAGAACCCTGAAAACTGGCCGGGATGGGCTGGGCTACGTAGGGGGATATCCATCGGGATTCTCATTCTCCCTTCCAGGTGAGGCAGGGCTGCTGGTGGCGAAGATAACGAAGAGCGCCCCATTCAACGGCTATGCGGGCGACCGCCAGAAGTCGGAGAAGAAGATCCTGAGGGATGTGATGAAGAAAGGAGACCTCTACTTCAACAGCGGAGACCTCCTCATGGTGGACCACGAGGGCTTTGTATATTTCCAGGACCGGGTGGGAGACACGTTCCGGTAGGTTCTGGGGCAAGCCATTACCCTCCTTTGACCCAGCTGCTGTCCCCTCCCGGGTGGGATGAACTGGGGAGCCCGATGCTGGTAGCACCTATAAAACCCTACGAGGGACGGGGACCCTATTGTGTGATGTGCTGTACACACAGGTATAACAATAACTAGTTCTCTCAGAGCAATTTACAACGGTGATAAGGCTCATTGCCTCCATTTTATAGATGGGGAAACTGAGGCACAGAATGGGGATGTGACAGGCCCAAGGTCACCCAGCAAGAGACCTGGGAACAAAACCTAGGTCTTCTCAGTCCCAGTAGGGTGCCACATCCGCTAGGCCACGCTGCCTCCCCTCTGCTACAAAAAGATGGTCCAGGAGTCAAAGAATTTACTGTCTAGGTCTGGCTGGGTTTTCAAAGGAGCCTAACACAGATTGCTCTTGTGCGCCTAACCCCCATAGGCCAATGCAAGCAGGGGGTGGATGCATCAGCCATAGAAGATAAAACAAAGTCCACGAGAAAAACTGTCAAAAGCACCAAAGTAACTTAGGCGTGACTAAGTGTGCACAGCAAAAATAAATAAATAAATATTTGAATAAATAAATAAAATACACACTCTGTGGCACTGAGTTTAGAGCTCAGATCAACTGGTTTGGGCTTGCAGGGCTAACACTGCCGGGCTAAAAATAGCAGTGTAGATATTCGGGCTCGGGCTGGAACCCAGGCTCTGAAACCCTCGCCTCTCACCCCATTCCAGCTGAGCACAAACATCTACGTGGCTATGTTTAGCCCCCTGAAACCGAATCAGTTGACCTGGGCTTTGAAACTTGCTGCTGTGGGTCTCTTTGTGCTTGTGTAGACATACCCTAAGTGTTATTTTGAAAAGCAACTTAGGGCTTGTCTACAGCACATGCTTGACTGGTATAGCTAGGACAGCAGAGCCCCCTGGTGGAGACACAGCGTATGCCGACAGAAGGCGTTAAACCATAGTGAGGCCTAGCAGAATTCGATTATTATTTTTTTATAATGTCAACGGATGATAGCGATGTGTCTTTTAAAGCCTTTTTTTTAGATGTTTATCCATGTAAATTTTCACAGCTGCACAAAATCCTGCAGGGGGGAGGGTCAGGCAATTATTTAGTGTCAGTAGATGTTGAGGTTCAAAAAGTTAAAATCGTTATAAACCACTAAAAAAACAAATGACCAACATCGCATGTCAAAATCTACAAAGTAAATATCCTTAAATCAACAAATAATACCTGGTTTTATTGTTCATCCATTTCAAAAGGCTACATCACTGGATTGTGATTCTAAGAAGCAGCCTTATTCTTAATTTGCCGATCTGTACATTTAGATGATTATCGATGGAAATATTTTTTCGTTGGTTTGTGTGTGTATGTGTGTTTTTTCATCCGTTTGTGTACCAACATTTACCTTCTAAGCCTAGAGGAGGCTTGTCTAGATGATCACAAAGGCCCCTTCTGGCCTTGAAATCTATTGATCAATGTGGGTGGATGGATGGATGGAAAAATAGATTGCTCTGTTCTCTCTCTTCAGCTGGAAAGGAGAGAACGTTGCCACGACGGAGGTGGAGACGACGCTGGTAGCAGTGCAGTTCATTCAGGAAGTCAACGTCTATGGGGTGCCGGTCCCAGGTGCGTACCCAGCAGCAAGACATATCATGTCACTTTGACACGGTGGCTCACCCCAAGAGCGTCCATCCTGAGGCGGCTTTTAAAAGCCATTGCATAGCGTGTCTGTGTCGGGGTCTGAGTCTTTCTTTGCGCGGGGAGGGACCCTGGGATGGAAGAAAGCCGTGCAAAGCATGGAGGAATAGTTCTCTCCACTGCAGAAATCACTGTGTTATTCAGGAGGTGAGGCTTGATGCTCAGAGCAGTCTGAAAAATCTACGGATCCTTCCATGAACAATCTATGCCCAGGCCTCAGCATATGGTCATTAGAGCTGTGCAAATAGTGGAGATTTTAGTTCACTGGCCGTTCTGAAAAATACAATAAAAAAATTGCTTCTGGTCGAACCCAATGATCTGAGGTCTGGAAAACCAGCCTTATAGTGAAAGACTAAAACAACTCCGTCTGCTGAGTTTATCCAAGAGATGAGGTGCCATGAGCAAAGCCTACAAATTCCTACATGATATGGCTCTTTCATCTAGCAACACAAGGCTCCACCGATGGCTAGGCGCTAGACAAACTCAGGCTAGTGATAAGATGCAAATGTTTAAGAGTGAAGGGAATTTGCCCGTGGAGCAACTGGTCTAGGGACGTGGTCAAGCCTCCATCACTTGAAGTCTAAGTGTCTCTTTCTAAAGGATCTGCTGTAACTTAAACAGAAGTTGTGGTCTAGTGGTTAGGATTTGGTGCTCTCACTACCATGGCCTGGGTTTGATTCCTGGTCAGGGAAGTAAGCATTTTGGAGGGGAGGGATAGCTCAGTGGTTTGAATATTGGCTTGCTAAACCTAGGGTTGTGAGTTCAATCCTTGAGGGGGCCATTTAGGGAACTAGGGTAAAAATCTGTCTGGGAATTGGTCCTGCTTTGAGCAAGGGGTTGGACTAGCTGAGGTCCCTGCAACCCTGATATTCTATGGTGGGTAAAATTCTCTGGCCCATGTTTCTCAGGAGATCAGACTAGATAGTTATAATTTTCATTTTGAGCTTAAAATCTATCACCCGGCCTCACCTAGGCTAGGATATCCAGGCGTTATGTTAGCACCTCATAGGGTATGTCTACACTGCCCAGCTAACCTGGGCCCCCGCCCTGGTTTTAGCTCAAAAGTCTCTCCAGTTCACACAGAAAAAATCTCTGGCCTGGGTCCGGAAGTGCTGTCAGTCTGGGTTAGAACCCGGGCTCTGCTTTCACTCGGGTTGGAACCTGCCTGCTTTCCAGTGAGGCTAAATCACTTGAATATGGATAGTCCTCCAATGCCCTTCCCACAATTCCCCCCAAAGGACAGACGAGCTTTCCTGCCACTGATGCTATAGACTGGGAAAGAAGCCTAGAGCGTCTGAGCGCAAAGAACCATGGGCTGTGCCCCCAGACACAGACATGAGTGAGTGCAGAGACAGTAACTCAGGTAGGTCTTTGCAGTGGAGAGGCTCTCACCCAGGTGCTCAGACCCGCGATAACTGGGCAGTGTAGACAGAGCCAAAGTTAACCTGTGCCAGCTAATGCCTGCTTCACATAACACCTTAAAACACCTAATCTAGACAAAGCCCGACGCTTTGTGTGTGTGTTTCAGGACACGAAGGCAAGATTGGAATGGCAGCAATACGACTGAAGGAGGGGATGGATTTTGATGGTGAAAAACTCTACACACACGCCAAGGATTTCTTGCCAAACTACGCCATTCCTCGCTTTGTCCGCCTGCAGGTAAGAGATCCTTTTGGCTGGCCCTTTAAGCCTCGGGGGGGGGCTGGAGGACCCTGACTTGGTTGGTAAATTGTAGGGGCAAAGGCTTGATCACACTGTGGTTCGTTATGGAATATAGTCAAGAGGCCAAATAACCAATGTCAGTCAGGTTTAGTGCCACAGTACAAGGAAGAGGTTTGGTGTGATACCAATCTCCGGAAAACCATCTCATGCAACCATCTTATGTTCATTGTTAGAACCTGAACATAAGAACAGCCACACTGGGTCTGACCAATGGTGCATCTAGCCCAGTATCCTGTCTTCCCACAGTGGCCAGTGCCAGATGCTTCAGAGGGAATGAACAGAGCAGGGCAATTTATCGAGTGATCCATCCCCTCTTACATCACCTTACACAGAAATTGTGTTCCCGAGTTACCCCCGTAAAGCTGTCTTTGTATACCCTACCTGTTTACAAGTAAAAGGTACTGATGTGTACATCATCTGAGACTAGATTTAACCAATCAGCTTTCTATCTAGGTAACCTGGTCCAGCACTGGCAGAACTTCTTCTGTTGCATCTCCACTCGGGAGCTCTGCTGGCATAGCTATACCAGCCAGTGCTCTGAGTAATGCTGTTCCCCTCCTCCAATGGGGGATGACCAGGGACAAAGCTAAAATTCTAGAGCTAAAAGCATCAGCCTCTGCCTCTTTGAGCTAAAGGAGCGACTCCACTAGCAGGCAGCTGCAGTAGACTCTTATCCTCTTATGTGGCATAGAGTGAGCCAGCTCCTGCAGAACTTTGTATGTTTTGTTACACAGGACGCTCTGGAGGTCACCGGGACATTCAAGCAGTGCAAAGGGCAGCTGGTGAAGGAGGGGTTCAATCCAGCTCTCATCAAGGACCCCCTGTTCTTCCTGGATGAATCGAAGAAACGTTTTGTGCCCATGAGCCCTCAGATCTACAGCTCCATCCTGGAAATGAAACTGAAACTCTAAGGGTCTCACTGCTGCCTTCTGTAACTAATGTGTTAACAGTCCTGGCAATGAAGCCAGGATGCCCCCAATTTGGGTTTCTCAGGATCCATCCAAGGAGGGGTAATTGCCTCCAGTTCTGTTCTAATCTGGTGATAATCTCGTGATTTTGTAATGATGGCTTTGTGGATATTCTGCTCTCCGAGAATCTTGCAGAAAATATAGGGTTTTTTTCGCAGGAGGAAGGGGAGGTTCTTTAAATGTGAATTTCACCCTTGAAACTTCTCACCCTCTGTTGTAGCTCATATTGAACTCTGTGATGTGGAAAAGATTTGTGATTATAGAAGTGAGAATTTTTTTTTTGGCGGATAGTAAGTCCCCCCTTCCCCCAAATGCATTTTTCGGGGCACTGAAACTATTTGCAAATTCCGGTCAAACTCATAGAAAGATAGGGCAGGAAGGAACCTCAAGAGGTCATCAAGTCCAGCCCTCCACGCTGAGGTAGGACCAAGTAACCCTAGATCATCCCTGAAAGTTATTTGTCCAACCTGTTCTGAAAAACCTCCAATGACAGGAATTCTACAACCTGTTCCACAGCTTAACTACCCTTATAGTTAGAAAGTTTTTCCTAATAACTAACCTAAACCTCCCTTGCTGCAGATTAAGTCCATTAGTTCTTGTCCTGCCTTCAGTGGACAGGCAGAATAACCGATCACCATCCTCTTTATAACAGTCCTTAACATATTTGAAGACTCTTATCAGGCTTCTTTTCTCAAGACTACACATGCCCAGTTTTTTCAACTTTCCTCCTAGGTTTAATCATTTTTGTTCCTCTCCTCGGGACTCTCTCCGATTTGTCCCCCAATTCAGTGAATAGTTTTGGCCATAAAAATCCCCCAAAACCAAAATTTCGGAATGGTCAAAACGATTCATTTTGAGCTGTGCCGCTCGGAGGACCTTTCCCAGACCTGAAGAAGCGTTCCATGTGGCTCGAAAGCGCGTCTCTCTCACCAGCAGAAGTTGGTCCAATAAAAGATATTACCTCACCCATCTGGTCTCTTCATTTGGAATCGATAGTTAATGTCATTTTGAATTCATTTGAAATGTTCTGTTTGACCTGAATGGAGTTTTTGGAGGTTCGTTTCAATGAGCCAAAAAAACATCAGTTTCGGTTTGAACCAAATCCAGTTTTGTTTTGTTTATTTTTAAGTTTCTGGTTTGGACACCTGTCAGGAATAAGAGCCCACAGCTAGTCTGGTTACCTGCTAGCTTAACCACCTCACAGTAATGATGCAGCTGGCTGTCAATTTAGCCACCTGATTGACCCCGTTGGGCTTCCCTCCAAGCCCTTTCCCCTCGGCTTCCCAAGAATTCAGTTCAACCCCAGATTTCGTTACTCACGTACCTTTATGCAACATACAACAAAGCAGTTCTGAGTTGATCAGACTCACGCTCAGTGGGCGGATGCAGGTCCAAAGTGATGCAGAAGCCCTCTTCCTTTATATGCATTTGCTCATACATTGCATTGGGTACGTCACGTCAGAGGTTCTCAACCTTTTTCTTTCTGAGCCCCTCCCCCCAACATGTTATAAAAACTCCATGGCCCACCTGTGCCACAAGAACTGGTTTTTCTGCATCTAAAAGCCGGGGCTGGCGTTAGGGGGTAGCAAGCAGGGTGATTGCCTGGGGTCCCCATGTCCTAGGGGCCTCCACGAAGCTACATTGCCCAGACTTCAGCTTCAGTCCTGGGCCCCTGATTGAGAACTACTGTGTTACATCACAGGTCATTCCTTTGTTGGGACCAGTCCCCATACAGCGTGCTCTGCCTACACATTACTTACGCTTTACCTCATCTTACGTGCCGTGTGTATCCAGGCCATTGCTGTCTTGTCCATTGTAAACTGTCCCCCTTCTCTTAGCTAATACACACATCCTATCTCCAGCCTGCTGAGCCATTTACCTCCCCAGTCATGCTTCCTGCGAAATGTGGCCTCACCCTTGTCTAGTTTCTCACCTCAAGCCAGGCCTACGGGCTCGACTGCCCGATAGGCTGAGGGGATCAGCAGACCTGCTCTTAAGCCCAGCCGCAGGGCCCCTTCTGTGCAAAGCTTTCGCCCGCTTTCACTTTTTTAAAAGGATGCCCAAACCTGGTAATGGGGAAAAGGTCTTAAGTGTTTCCTTTTCTGCCTTGGGTAAGTAACTGGAGGACTTCATTTCAAAGAGCCGGATCTTGGGGCCATTTCTCTGAGTGTGAGTCCATTCTCCGGGCTTGTTAAAAATGAATTAACTACAGGGGAAGTTGACGTGCATAAATTAAAGCACAGTAATCCCCAGGGTGGACACTCATTCCAAAGTGGATTTAGGGCTTGTCTACACTCCAGAGCCTTGGCCAGCAGAGACCCCTAGTGGAAACTGGAGAGGGTGCAGAGAAGGACCACAGTATTGAGTTAAGGCAGAGGTGGGCAAACTACGTCCCGGGGGTTGCATCCGGCCCTTCAGATGTTTTAATCTGGCCCTCGAACTTTCACCAGGGAGCGGGGTCTGGGGCTTGCCCCACTCCGTGCGGCTCCCAGAAGCAGCGGCATGTCCCCCCTCTGGTTCCTACACATAGGAGCAGCCAGGGGGCTTTGCACACTGCCCCTGCACCAAGCACTGCCCCTGCAGATGGGTCAGCGCGCAGAACCGCCTGACTGAGCCTCCACATAGGAGGCAGAGGGGGGACATGCCACTGCTTCCGGGAGCTGCTTGAGGTAAGCGCCACCCACAGCCTGCTCCCCCGTCCCGCTCCTGTACCCCAACCCCCTGCCCCAGCCCTGATCCCCCTCCTGCCCTCCGAACCCCTCCATCCCAGCCCGGAGCATCCTCCTGCACCCCAAACCCCTCATCCCCAGCCCCACCCCAGAGCACGCACCCCCAGCCATAGTCCTCACCCCGCACACCCGAATCCCCAGCCCAGAGCCCTCTCCCACACCCTGAACTCATTTCTTGCCCCACCCCAGAACCTGCACCCCCAGCCGGAGCCCTCACACCCCAACCCCTAATGTTGTGAGCATTCATGGTCCGTCATACAATTTCCATACCCATCTGCTGAAGTGAAAAGACAGATTGACAGAGCCAGACGAGTACCCAGAAGTCACCTCCTACAAGACAGGCCCAACAAAGAAAATAACAGAACACCACTAGCTGTCACCTTCAGCCCCCAATTAAAACCTCTCCAGCGCATCAAAGATCTACAACCTATCCTGAAAGATGATCCCTCACTCTCACAGATCTTGGGAGACAGACCTGTCCTCGCTTACAGACAGCCCCCCAACCTAAAGCAAATAGTCACCAGCAACCACACATCACTGAACAAAAACACTGACCCAGGAACCTATCCTTGCAACAAAGCCCGATCACAACTCTGTCCACATATCTATTCAAGTGACATCATCATAGGACTTAATCACATCAGCCATACCATCAGGGGCTCGTTCACCTGCACATCTACCAATGTGATATATGCCATCATGTGCCAGCAATGCCCCTCTGCCAGAGTGACCAGAGGAGGCGCCATTTTAGCAGTGAATGGAGCACCCGTCACAGGCCCTCCGGGTTCTCAGCATTAGGAAAGGTTTGCTTGGGTGGAGGCCTCAGCCGCCTTTATAAATGAACCTAGGACGAGTATCCCCGGGGAGAAAGAAAGATAAGGCTGCAGCCATGCCTCAGCGGTCGGTTACATGAATAATTCTGTAAGGTTTACCAGAGAAAGCACAGGAATACTAGGTAGATTCCCTGATATTTGCCTTGGGTGATGCTGCTGAGGACATCCTCACTGATGAGGAAAAGAAAAGAATACACAAAAGTGGAGCAGGCTTTTGATGCCCATTTCATAGGCAGACAGAATATTTTATATGAAAAGGCCAAAATGTCCTGGTTAGAGGTCGCTCCGTATTCACTGCTGGAGTACAGGTGCAGTTCTTTCTCCTATCTTAGGGTCAGATTACCTGATGTTCACAATGATAATTGAATATAAAGATTCAATGGATGGAGAAGAGGAAATCAAGAGAAAGAGACAGAAAACATCAGAATAAGCATTAGGGATTTCTGCTGGGTAGAAAACATGCTGTATTTTTTTCCCTTAACCTATTCCTCGAAAGGAGTTACCTGTTGCCTCAGTAGCACTTGGCCAGCAAGTGCTCCCATTGGGGTGGTAGGTGAGTGGTGCTCCATTCGGATGAGTTGGATTCCTCTTTCCATCAATGAGAAATGCTCTCCAGAAAGCAGAGAAAATGATTGGAGATTTGAAGAATTCAGCAGGTGGGATCCCAGAGGAGCCAACTTCAGAAACACCATCCAAACAGAGCAGCACTTTCTTATTTAGTTCTTCAGAGAATGCCAGCTGTGTTTGGCTACTGTTCCTGAGAATGTCTGGGGAAATGGGGGCAGCTAACCAACAATTTCCTGACAAATATTCCTCTAGGGAAAGAGAGCTTGTGTTTAAAAAAAAAAGAGTTAAAGATGGTAACCCAGCAGTGCGCCTGTTTCTCTCAAGAAACCACATCCAAACCAGGCAGCACTATCCTACAGAACGACCGGAGGGTGCAGTGGTTTAGATATGATTGGTTGGAATTTCCCCAGTGGAGGTTGCGAATCATCCAAGACTGAAGTACAGTTGTAATTCTTTATGCTGTCTCTGGGTAGAACTACTTGTAGTTCACAGTGATCATTCAATTTAAACAGTTGATTGGAAAGGGAGAACAGTGAGAAAACACAAGAGAGAGAGGAAACATATGAATGAGAGTCACCGTTTTCTGCTGTGCAGAGAAAATACTGATTTTTTCCCCACTTTCTTATTGAGCTCTTCAGGAAGAACATCCAAATACATTGGCACTTTGAAAAACCCCACCTATGTTTGGCTATTGTTCCTGGGAATTGTCTGACGAAATGGTGACAGCCAGTCAGCCTCTGCCTGGGAAACCTTTCTCTAAGGAAAAAGAGCATTAGTATGTGCCAAAAAAAAAAAAAAAAAATTAACAACAACCAAGTGGAGTTCTTCATTGAAACCCAGCAA